TTTATAATTCCAATGGAAACACAGTTCAGATTATTTTTGTATGGGGAATGATGCAGTCTAATTTATATACGTGCATATGTATGTATTATTTTTGATATCATAGTTTGCATTAAATTATTAGTTAATTTAAAAAAATCTACGCACTTTTCTTTTCGTTTAAGTTTTGTAGCTATTACCGTCGCGTACAATGACATTTAGTGCTTCTACTAAACATGTGGATATACATACATACATATGTTTAGTGCGCGACAGTTGTTAAGCGTTGTAAAATATAGTGCAATCGACTAATAAACTTGGATTTAGTATATACGTGTGTACGTACATACATACCCTGCAGGAAAAAAAATATTAATTGATAAAAAATAACCAACTTGTAGTTAGCTTTTTTGCAGGATTTCCATAAAATATATAACTTATAATTAGCTATAAAAATCTAACTTGAAACTAGTTGAATAGTAATGCAAACGCAATCGGAAGATTATTTTCTTTAAATGCGTTTCTATTTAAATATCCTGCACTTCACAAATACTTTTTCCAATTGAGGACGAATAAAAGGAAGAACGAAATTTCATATTATCATTTTGAAATTATGTCTGACGGAGTTCGAATATGGGGCCACCTATAAATAAATAAAGAAAAAAGTAAAAAAAAATTACAAACATTTTGTTTTTCCTATTGATATTTTATGTCCAAAAGTAGTTAGTTACATCAAATGCAGAGGTAACCACCCTTGACTATAGGTATACCACCCTTGGCCATACAAATACAGTTAGCTTTCCTCAGAAGAAATATACAAATAATAATAGTGGCCTTTAGTTCCTTCCTAATCAACTTAAAGTTAACTTATAGTTAGATATATTTCCCGCAGGGTATGTATTTAGATATGTATGTAGGCTTAAGTAATTAGTGCAAGATGAACACACCGGATCGACCTTCGTTGCTCAAACGTCACTTAATGCAGATATAAAGCAATTTTCATTTGAATTCACACATACATGGAAGTACTATATGCTACATATGTTTGTATGTATGTAGGTTTGTAGATTTGGAATATATGTAAACATGTACATACATAAGTTAATGTGACACTTGGTTGCGCTCCGTTTCAAATTCATAAGTTGTTTCAAAAAAAGGGATTACACGCTCCGATAAATTTGTAAGATTGTATGTAATCTTAATATTAATACTTATGTACGTACATATATACACATCGCTCATTAACTTCAATAATTTCATAACTCTAAAAAGCTTAACACGGGGAAAACTACTTTAAAGTTTTGAATTTATATATGTCGGTAGTATATGTATATATTAAAAATTAAAACATATTTTGTTCTAGTGAGCTACTGGTAATCGCTATAGTTATGAAATGTTTACACAACATAAACGAAAAGGTAGCGATAATTTCTGCATAACATTACCTCAACTTTTGTATTTTTTTTAATTATGACACTATTGAAGTAAATAGCTCTGATCCAATACTTTTCGTGTAAAATCCTGTAAAAATGTCAAACAGCAAAACTACTCTCTGATGTAAGAGTAAAAAGTGACTAACAACAAAAAGTACGGGAACAAATCAAAGCAATTGTTCTCTGTTAAAACAAGTGATCGCTTGACACTTTTCATGATTTTACCAGGAGAAAAAGTTCGGCTAAAATCTTGAAACTTCATTCTCTATACATAATGTGACCAACTATTTCATAGCTCAAAGAAGTACAGAAGCTGAGAACAAAAAATTTTGTAAGTAATAAAAAAATGGTAAAAGCAAAATATGCAGTGTACCAAATCCAACAAAGTTAATTTTTTAATTAACAAGTAAAGAAGTAGATATAAGTTGGGGCTGATTAAATATAGTTTTTTTTCCACCTTTCTTTAAACTATGTACTGGGCTTGGTAGAAATCGATAAAGCGCTTACCGAGCATAAGCGGTGTCGTGCCCATTTTCCGAAGAAAATCTATACATATAATAAAATTTTTACAAGCCGATGTCTGTACATACTAGATATTAAAGAAAAATTAATATGGGGCGGTCTTTATAAGAGCAACAGAAGCCAAATCAAGAATTTTTAGAAATTTTGATTGTATGTCTGTCTGTTTAGAAATAGAAATAGTAATCAGTTTTCACCGATATATTGCTCGAGGTCTAACTTAAAATCTAGAAGAAGAAAAAAATTAGAGAGTTGTCGCCTGTTTGAAAATTACAGCTTTGCTAAAATTGATAGATACATTAATTATTGCAATATGGCTGACAAAAGATAAGATAAATTAAATATTGCAATATGGGTATCAAAATAAAGAGGTTTAGGAAAGTTAGTTAGCTACAGGGAATATTTGAGGAATATTTTAAATATAACAATTCTGGTGTTAAATTAAAGCGGTTTAAGAAAGTTTACTGTCGTTACTTAATTAAGTTAAATTGACAAGATAAGGTAAATATTGAATTAGTACACCTTTGAAGAAAGTTTGCGATATGTATGTAGACTGGAGTTATAAGAATATAAATTAAATTTCCATGAGAAAGCCGAGTAGCATAAAAAATAAAGAATGCTTCATAATGTATATGAATCATCCCACTGTACATATTAACAATCATCCAAGCGGATGCAAGTTAATTTCCTTAGAAAAAACATTCAAATTTACTCAACGTTTATTTGCTTAAATATTTCCCCTTTTGACAAAAGCAAAGACTTTTCACTTTATGTACTTTTTTGTGAATAAACAATTTTAATGTACATAAGAATACTTGGCACTTTTTAAGTGTTTACTCACAGAAATGCTATAGATATACATACATACATACATACATAAGTATGAATGCACGTATATACACACAGATTACATACCTATGTATGTATGTACTACATGCATTCCCATTTAAACGCTTCTACGCAGATGGGGTCGGTAACGCTATCAACAAAATTGAAGCGCGCCAAAATAGCTTGATTAATATTTTGGATACGTATTATTGAGTAAATAAGCAGTGGAAGAGAAGCATACAAAGAACATTTTTTAATACCCTTTCTAGAATAAAACGGGCGTTCTCTATGCATCAAATACCGACAACAGGGATTTTCCTAGATAATTTCTATTTGCTATTGGTACCATGGCTTACTTAGCCGCATGAGATTGTATTCAGATTCAGATTCAAATAATAATGCGCCGCACGTGTTACGAAAATCAAAATTATTCAAATAAGTATTTTGTCAAAAAATTTACTTATGTATGTATGGGCTTGTAAGCCCAACATTTTGCGCAGAAAATTTACCCGGAGGTTAAGCTCACTTTTTATGCATAAAATTACGTTTACATATAACTATAATCTCAATTATAGCTTCTTTATTAATCACCCCGTTTACAGTGGCAAATCTGAGATTATTAGCTGTCAAATTTGTTGTATGTACTTGTTATTCTCCTGCACCACCGTGATCACTTTTTTACAGGGACGCTAATAATTATAAGTTAAATAATTTAAATCAACATTTAATCATTATTTTATGATTTTAATTTTTTTTCGCTCAAAAATAATAATTATTATTGATTTTTATCATTTCGCTCAACGGAAATGATTATTATTTGATTTTTATTTTTTCGATCACAAATAATGATTTTTTTATAATCTTAATTTTTTCGGTCAAAGATAATAATTATTATTGAATCTCATTTTTAAACTTAAAGATAATATAATTATTATAAAATTTAAAAGGCCATACAGACGCAACTTACTGAAATGTTGAACTGAAAATTTTGAGGCTTATTACTTTTATTAGGGTATCGCTACCTCTGAAAAGGATACGTCGGAAATCACTGTAAATTACAGTATTACGTAAGTAAACAAATACGTGAGTATAGTTGAAATTGTTTTACGACGATTTTACCTTATTGATTTTTTTGATTAATATTTAAAAAAAAATAATGATTATTTTCCGTACCTGCTTTTTTACGCTACATTAAGAAAATTAAATATATTCCAGTTTTGCTTAGTTTTACATTTGACATTTCTCCTCTTCTTCTCAAAAATAATCGATAAAACTAGGTTAAACACCGAAAAGTTATCGGTTTAATCTGAGATTATTTTATAATGGAAATGGGCGAAATAGGACAATAACCACGCCCACTTCTCATATAACGGTATTTTAGAAAAATGCAAGAACTGCGATATTTCCATAAATATTAGATCTAAATTGTTGAAAAATAGTTTGTGAAGTATAATTTTGGTGAAAAAATAGTATTATTATGAAATTTTTAGAAAATGGGCGTGACGCCGCCCACTTATGAAATACTGTATCTCAGTGTCCGCTTCATCAATCCTTATCAAAATCGGTACGAGCGTTGCCTAGGGTCTACTTAAGAAATCTGCTGAAAATCTTTGAAATCGACCAATAACCATGCCCACCTCATATATAACAGTAATTTACAATAACACGAAAACAGCGGGAAAATAAGTAACTACTGAATCTAATTCACTTCAAATCGATGAGTGCAATAACCACTCAGCAGAAAATTTGACTAATATAAATTTTTGGATAATGGGCGTGGCGCCGCCCACTTTGTGACTACAAATGTGTATCTCGATAACCGATTTCTACCAAACTCGGTGCACTTTATAACCTTGGTACGGAAAAGCGATTGCTTAAAAATTATTAAAATCGGTTTAAAATTACACCCGCTCCCCGTATAACCGTAAATTTCAGAAATACGAGAAGTCCGATATTTCAAAAACTGAGGACATTTATATACTCCAAGTTAATACTTACAACCATCTCTTACCCGGTTATATAAAGTTCGGTTTCGTCCGAACTTATACTTCTTTACTTGTTCTAATTACAGATTAGGGAGTTAAGCTTGAAAATGAGGATAATCTACTTAATATTCAATATCTTCTCCCCTCCATATGTACACACATTATTAATTTATTCCCTTATTGACGGTGTTGCAACTGGTCGATGGGCGGTTTTGCAAAAACATCGACGATATGTACATATATTAGCGCACTTACTTGCAATAGCCCATTGTTGGCCCCGCAGAATGCCCCACAGCGTAGTATTTAAATCCTCTCGACACTGGGGTCCTCCAACTTTGTTCAGACTGTAGGCGAATAATTGTCGTTCGTTTGGTGTCAACACTGCACCTTCGTCCTCGAAAGGATGTTTGCCAAATACATTGTCTGTGTACTCTACATCATGCAATTTTTCAGACGACCAATCCAAAGGCGAACCAACGCCGATATTTTTCGTCGCGCAAGTGCTTAAAAGGAAGCTAAGCATAAGCACGAACGTAAGCATTTGTTTTTTCCGAGCCATGGTCAATTGCTTTCGATTGTTTAATATTTCTTTTCTAATGTAGTAGAGCTTCGATTTTTTGAAATCCTTTAACTACCAATTTATTTATCACAAAATACTTTTAAACATAATTTGTTTCCTTGCTCTGTTTTTTTTGCGGTAATCAGCGGCTGAAATTAAAGTTATTGTGTTTTTTTAATTTATTTATTAAAATAAAACCACTTTCATTATTTAGCACTTCCTTTCTGGAATTCGGCGATCATTTACTGTGCAAGTATTACCAATGTGTTGGTCTTCTGCACTACCGACCGTGCGAGCCGCGAATTAAAAATCAACTAAACTCACGCTTTGTCTCAACAAACGGTTTAAGCCAAGTTTAGCCGAATCAAGTTGACTCGCTAAGCTGCTCGTCGCTATGGATGAACGCCCGATTCATCGCTCGAGTGCGCATAGCTACAAGTGTAAGTTCTGCAGTGCGTCAGCCAATTTAAGTAGCTTGCCATTTAAGTGCATTCTAAAATGTTGTGAATTTCTCCTCTCCTTCTAAGTTCTAAGTAAATGAAATTCTTGCAAATATCGCCCTCTACCTGGATTTAAAATAGCAGCATCGTTTATTATGAAAACGCTATGATACACATCACCTTTCTCGAACAGTATTAAATCTCAAAACGTGAGATAGTGGGTTAATTGAAAGAGAGGTTTGCCCTCCTTCTGGCCCTACATACGGAAATACATACTTAAGAACATCTTTTTACAGGCTTAAGAACCTCTGCTGAAATTACCAGGGCTCACCCGTTCTTGGTTATCTCGCTAGCCATTTCATTTCTATAAATGCTGCTATGCCTCGGTATCCAGATAATAAAACGTTCTCTCTAAATTCATTTACCATGCTGAAAGTATATGCCACAGAGCCAAGAGCTAATCGTCATCTGGCTGTCTGAGAAAATATCGATCTGCGGTAGAATACAACATTCCTTGCCGATAACAAAAACCTCAGCCGGGAAATCACTTGCTGAATCTGGACGCCGCGCAGACATTTCTATTTAAAAGTCCGGCATGACCTTAATGATGCTCTTTCCACCATCCAAGCTCTCTCAGCCTCAGGACACGCAATTTCTTTGATAAAAATATCTATCGATACCAAGTGACAGACCACGTTTAAGACTCCCGTTGGACAAGATGTGAAAGCCCTGGCTGAACTTTGCACTCTGCTTAACATTTTACCATAGCTTCCAAGTAAATATCAATTCATTGGGCTAGATTGGTTGCGGTCAAAGATAGTATCGGAATGCCTTACCTCTCTTTCAGATGCGTCTGATTTGTCTGATTTTTCCATCGTAAGATATATGTATGGTGAATATGTGTGCCGGGCTATAGTTATATTGCTGGAAATTGTGTTACTAATGAGTTGGCAACGAAAGGCACCCTTTCAGTCGGTCTCAACGCGAATAGGGAGAATATGCCTACTTTTAATTATATGAAGACAAGTTTACTCATGTCAGCCTATCGAACGCGAGGCGGTAAAGGGCTTTTCTTAAGCTCACAAAACCGCAAATCTTAATTCTGTTAAGTATATTGGCACGACACTGGCCGATTGGTGTTCACACGGTCAGACTAAATATCAAATCGCTTTATAGAGAACAATTAGGTGGAATCATGCCAATAACTATTATATAGCTTCCCAGCTTTTGCGGGTCTCAACACCGTAGACCAGTCAGGTGTAGTTAGTACGTGTCAATATTATTTCATGTAAATTTTCCTCTTCTAAGGGAAGCTGTATCAGAAGGCCTTTCCATAGGAAAAATGGACAAAGAATCGAGCTCGGAAGGCCAAAAAATTTCCGCCATCCCTTGTCAATTCTGGCTTGTAGACCGGTAGAACCGGTTCTGGCGCTGTGCCATCTTAATGGTTCAGAACTGAAGATGGCACAACGACAAAATCGCTTTGTCTCCAAACCGAAATTGACAAGGGATGACGGAAATTTGTTCCGAAATATGTCATACCTCTGGCGGAAACATCAACAATCAAAAAGAAATAATCTTTTTTACTTATTTTGCGGTATCTTCAAAAACTTATTAGAAACAAGACAAATAATTTAGTTACATTTTACACTTAAATTACAAAAAAAAAAGATAAGTACAACGCACAAGTTGACTTTCACTTAAAAGAGAATACGTAGTTTCGTACATAAGAATGATTCCAAATGCACTTCTGCATAACTCGTATATATACAAATGTGATTAAGTGCTTGGAAACTGTAAACCACTTCATGTTTTGACGTACATACATACCCAGTGGTAAAAAAAGCAATGTATAGTAATCGAAAAAATAATCGGTAAAACAGCCGTTTTCACATTCGAAAATGCATTATTTTTCCCACGTCGATGTCCTAGGAAAAGTGATTTAATATGAAATTTTTGCGACTTTTTGGATACATTAGCAGAAATAGAATCTAGAACTCATTCGAAATAGATTACATTATTTATCACGCATGTAATGCATTACCACTTTTCCCACTGGGTATGTATGTATGTACATTTGTGTCTTGTTGTTGTAACAAAAGCCTGAACACGCAGTACTTTTTTTATTTTAAAAGCGATATATGTATGTACGCTTTTGATCACCACAAGCAAATAGCACGTTTTCTAAATTTGCTAAATTGTTTACGCGAAAATTTCATTCAACAGTAGA